GTTAATACAGTAAATTGGTACCAGTAGAGTGGGGTGTTGCTGAAAATATACCCAAAAATGTGGAAGCAACTTTGGAACTGGGTAACAGGCAGAGAATGGAACAGTTTGGAGGGCTCAGGAGAAGACAGGAAGATGTGGGAAAGTTGGGAACTTCCTAGAGATTTGTAGAATGGCTTTGACGAAAATGCTGACAGTGATATAAACAATAAGGTCCAGGCTGAGGTGGTCTCAGATGGAGATAAGGAACTTGTTGGGAACTGGAGTAAAGGTGATTTGTGTTATGTTTTAACAAAGAGACTGGCAGCATTTTGCCCCTGCCCTAGAGATTTGTGGAACTTTGAGCTTGAGAGTGATGATTTAGGGTATCTGGCAGAGAAAAGTTCCAAGAAGCAAAGCATTCAAGAGGTGATGTGGGTGCCGTTAAAAGCATTCGGTTTTAAAAAGGAAACACAGCATAGAAGTTTGGAAAGTTTGCAGCCTGACAATGCAATAGAAAGGAAAACCCCATTTTCTGGGGAGAAATTCAAACCAGCTGCAGAAATTTGCATAAGTCGCAAGGAGCCTAGTGTTAATCCCCAAGACCATGGGGAAAATGTCTCCAGGCCATGTCAGAGACTTTCTCGGCAGCCCCTCCCATCACAGGCCCGGAGGCCCAGAAGGAAAAAGTGATTTTGTGGGGTAGGCTAAGGGCCCTCGTGCTGTGTGTAGCCTAAGGACTTGGTGCCCTGTGTCCCAGCTGCTCCAGCAGTGACAGAAAGGGGCCAACATAGAACTCAGGCTGTGGCTTCAGAGGGTGGAAGCCCCAAGCCTTGGCAGCTTCTACATGGTGTTGAGCCTGTGGGTGCACAGAAGTCAAGGACTGAGGTTTGGGAACCTCCACCTAGATTTCAGAGGATGTATGGAAACATCTGGATGCCCAGGCAGAAGTTTGCTGCAGGCCAGGGCCCTCATGGAGAACCTCTGCTAGGGCAGCGCGGAAGGGAAATGTGGGGTGGGAGCCCCCACACAGAGTCTATTGGGGTACTGTCTAGTGGAGCTGTGAGAAGAGGGCCACTGTCCTTCAGACCCCAAATGGTAGGTCCACTGACAGCTTGCACCGTGTGTCTGGAAAAGCTGCAGACACTCAATGCCAGCCCGTGGAAACAGCCGGGAGGGAGACTGTACCCTGCAAAGCCAAAGGAGTGGAGCTGCCCAAGACCATGGGAACCCGCCTCTTGCATCAGGGTGACCTGGAGTCAAAGGAGATCTTTTTGGAGCCCTAAGATTTGACTGCCCTGCTGGATTTCAGACTTGCATGGACTCTATCACCCCTTTGTTTTAGCCAATTTCTCCCATTTGGAATGGATGTATTTTACCCAGTACCTATATTCCAATTGTATCTAGGAAGTAACTAGCTTGCTTTTGATTTTACAGGCTCATAGGCGGAAGGGACTTGCCTTGTCTGGATGACACTTTGGACTGTGTACTTTTGGGTTAATGCTGAAATGAATTCAGACTTTGGGGGACTGTTGGGAACACATGATTGGTATTTAAATTTGAGGACATGAGGTTTGGAGGGGCCAGGAGCAGAATGATATGGTTTGGCTGTTCCCCTACCCAAATCTCAACTTGAATTGTATCTCCTAGAATTCCCATATGTTGTGGGAGGGACCTAGGGGGAGGTAATTGAATCATGGGGGCTAGTCTTTCCTGTGCTATTCTTGTGATAGTGAATAAGTCTCATGAGATCCGATGGGTTTATCCGGGGTTTCTACTCTTTCTTTCTCATTATTTTCTCTAACTGCTGTCACTTAATAAGTGGCTTTCGCCTTCTGCCATGATTCTGAGGCCTCCCCAGCCATGGGGAACTGTAAGTCCAATTAAACCTCTTTTTCCTCCCAGTCTCGGGTATGTCTTTGTCAGCAGCGTGAAAATGGACTAATTCAAACCCCGTACTTGCCACCTTCTAAACCAAAGCAATTTGTGTTCCTTTACATTTTAATAGGTCATACTTCTTGGCATTTCTCCCAAAATTCAGTAAGTGTGTAATTTTTATATAAAGGAAACAAAAGCTAAATTTATACTGTTGCTTGAAAGCTCATTAAAAAATTCTCTTTTGTAAAGATGATGAGTTTATAAAAATTATGCTACTTATTATCAATTATTATTCCATGTAAGGGCATAATCTTTTTGCGAGGGAGAGTCGGCTTCATGCCCTGCTTTATTGACTAGAATTAGGTGCTTAAGAATACCTTAGGATATCCCACAAGGAGAGTTATATCATGAACAGTTATGTAGCCTCATTTTTTAAGGGATGCAGGAGTTGTTAGAGAGATAAAAGGCAGGGAGAAAAAGACGTAACTAAAATTTATATCAGTTAGGATTAGATTGTTCTGTGAGTGACAGAAAACCGCAAATCAGAGTGGGTTAAACAAGGGAGAAGTTTACTTTTTGTTCCACATAGATTCAGCTGGCATAATGGCACCACCATCATGAGAAGAAGATAGGCGTCTTCCATCTTCTTGTTCCATCGTCTTCAGCCCTTGCGTTTCACTCCATGTAGTCCAAGATGGATGCTCCTTCCATGTCAGGCACCTGTCCTTGTATTAGTCAGTTTTCTGACTGCTATAAAAAACACCTGGCTGGGCACGGTGGCTCACGTCTGTAATCCCAGCACTGTGGGAGGCTGAGGCGGGCAGATCACCTGAGGTCAGGAGTTCGAGACCAGCCTGGCCAACATGGCAAAACCCCTCCTCTACTAAAAATACAAAAATTAGTGGGGCGTGGTGGCGCATGCCTGTAATCCCAGCCACTCAGGAGGCTGAGGCAGGAGAATTGCTTGAACCCAGGAGGTGGAGGTTGTAGTGAGCCGAGATTTTGCCATTGCACTCCAGCCTAGGGAACAGAGCAATCAAAAGAAAAAAAAAAGAAAGAAAAAGAAAAAGAAGAAGAAATACCTGAGACTGGGTAATTTATAAAGGAAAGAAGTTTAATTAGCTCACTGTTCTGCATGGCTGGGGAGGCCTCAAGAAACTTACAATCATAGCAGAAGGTGAAGGAGAAGCAAATACCTTCTCCACAAGGTGGCAGGAAAGAGAGAGAGTGAGGGAGTAACTGCCAAACACTTATAAAACCATCAGATCTTGTTAGAACTCACTATCATGAGAACAGCATGGGGGAAACCACCACCATGATCCAATCACCTGCCACCAGGTCCCTACCTTGACACGTGGGGATTACAATTCAAGATGAGATTTGGGTGGGCACACAGAGCCAAGTTATATGAGTTCTCCTTCTACCCAGTAGGAAAGGAGACAGATGAGGAGAAAGGTACCCCTCCTTTACAGATACTTGGTGGAAGTCTCATATTCCACTTCTGACTACAGCAGTGTTTATGGACAATTTCTTTTGCTTTAGTCTGTCAGACTCCGCTCATTTCCAGAGTTACTTAGGTTAACATCTCTTCCCTCCACCTCTTCAGTGAGGTGGTTTCATACTTTTGTAATACAGTTAGATCGTTTTACTGCAGTCCACATTCCATCCTGGGATCTTTTGACCTCATGAATGATTTGTAAATGTGCGTTCATTCAGGTTTACTCTTGGTGCTATCACATTGTATGAGTTTTGTCATATATCATTTTAAATATTAATAGAGAATGTCATTTATGTATGATTTTAATAAATTTAATACTTTAACATTTTAATATCAATTTAATATAAATAACAGCAATTAATTTGCCCACGGTCACATAGCTATTAAGTGGCAGAGCTAGGATCCAAATTCAGATGAATGAGTTTGCAAAACCCCCTTTCCTTTCACCATGCCATTTTCTTCTTTCAAGAATCTTAAACTCTTGATCAGCTCATATTTTAGGGAAATCTTTAGCTTTATTATTATTATTATTATTATTTTGAGATCAAGTCTCATTCTGCTGTCCAGGCTGGAGTACAGTGACGTGATCGCGGCTCACTGCAACCTCCACCTCCCGGGTTCAAGCAATTCTCCTGCCTCAGCCTCTCAAGTAGCTGGGATTACAGGTGTGTGCCACCACGCCCGGCTAATTTTTGTATTTTTCGTAGAGATGGGGTTTTACTGTGTTGGCCAGGCTGGTCTTGAACTCATGACCTCAGGTGATCTGCCCATCCTGGCCTCCCAAAGTACTGGGATTACAGGTGTGAGCCATCGCGCCCAGCCTAGATGTTAATGAAAGTTATTTTTTAGGGCAGTTTTAGGTTCATAGCAAAATTGAGTGGAAAGTGCAGAGAGTTCCCATGTACTCCTTTTCCCCACACATGCCATAGCCTTTCCTGCTATCAACATCCAACACCACAATAATACTACATTTATCACAATCAATGAACTTACATTGAGATGTCATTATGACTACAATTTACTCTTGATATTGCACAATGTATGGGTTTTTGTTTTGTTTTTTATTAGTAGTAGAGATGGAATTTCACCATGTTACCCAGGCTGGTCTTGAACTCCTGGACTCAAGCAATCTGCCTGCCTCGGCCTTCCAAAGTGCTGGGTTTACGGATATAAGCCACTGCACTCAGCCCAGTCTATGAGTTTTGACAAATATATGATGACACGCATCCACTGTTGTGCAGACATCAGGTCAGATTTGGAAAGTGGACATGGGTTTGTTTTTAAATTGCCAACTGTCACTGGATGACAATATCATGCTGATGATTGATTTGTTCATAGCTCAATGAAAAGGCACAGACTAGTCAGAGGTGTGTAATCTGTATCCCAACTGATATAAATGACAGTTGACTAATGGTCACCTGTAAATCCTGTCCCATCATCTACGTTTCTTTCCCCTTGCTGTATTAATATCTTGGATGAGTCAGCACCTATTTACTGATACATTTTTGTCCATCTATCCACCATCCATCCATCCATCCATCCATCCCTCCCTCCCTCCCTCCCTCCCTCCCTCCCTCCCATCCATCCATCCATCCATCCATCCCTCCCTCCCTCCCTCCCTCCCTCCATCACCACGTGGCTACCCAGCTGTGCCCTCCCACCTCATAATGCCTAATGAAGTTGCTAAGGCTTCTCCCCTTACTTATGTTAGCAATGGCTGGCAGCTGTGGAGGCTAAAGAAAGATGGAGGTGATAAAGCAGCAAAGGAAGTGGCAAAGGAAGGAAATGAGCTTTGTGTCAAAAGTACCAAGAAGACAAAACCAACCCTTTCATAGAAACTCAGCTAAAATTCAGGTCAGGCATAGTGGTTCACGCCTGTAATCCCAGCACTTTGGGAGGCTGAGTTGGGCAGATCACTTGAGGCCAGGAGGTCTTAAGTAAATGATGATCGATGGTCAGAGTCAGACTTCTCACTGTTGGTAGAAGGGAAAGAGGCTAGAATGATCCATGAGGTAATGAGGTAATGGAATAGAGTTAGGACATCCCTATGAATGCATATTTAGCTTGATATAGTTATAAATGGTCACACACAGAAATGTTTATGGATATATGTAAATACATGGGTTAGTATATGCACATATATTTCCTTTCTCTTTCAGCTGAGAAGCAAAGACTTCCCCACAGCAACAACCATATCTACCACCTAGATCTTGCTATTTAGTACCATTTTGCAATAAAAGGAACCAGGGCTTCTTGGAGAAATGGCTGATTCTACGAGTGGAGGAGAAAATATACAAGATGTCTGAAATATCCTATAGAGCCAGAAATTAAGGAAGTGCTCAAACACACACACACACACACACATGCACAAAGGAGTATATCATAGGTACAGAGAAGTCAACTGAAAGAGCTTACAGCATGGCCAAAGCTGGAAAATAAAGCAAGAAAACAAGAGAAAGAAAGAGAGAGAGAGAGAGGGAGAGCAAGGAAGGAAGGAAAGGGAAGGGAAGGGAATTAAATTATAACTCAAAGCATTAAAAAAAATCCTTGAGTCCACGTTGATATAAATAAATGACTAAATAAGATCTTCCAATAATTTATGTAAATCCTCTGTCTTAAAGAGAAGGGCTGTAAGTCCCACCTCCTTAAGTGTGGGCCATACGTAGCAACTTCCTTCCAAAGAGCACAGAACAGAAGGGTTGGCGGGGGAGGAGGTCACTTTACAGCAGAGAAACCTGACTAATGCTATCTCAGCTGGGTGATCAAGGTAACAGCAGCAGTTATAAGCCATGTTGATAGTCTGTACCCTTGGCAGGATGTGATGAAAATGGCATTCGGCCTCTGTGGTCTTGCTCCCACCAACACTTAACTCCAGTCTAATGGGAAACACATTAGACAAATGTCAATAAGGGACATGCTACAAAATACCTGTCCAATATTCCTCACAACTGTCCAGCTTACGAAAAAGAAAGTAATTCTGAGAATCTGTCACAGCCAAGAAGAACCTAAGGGTATGGATGACAAGAATGTCATGTTGTGTCTGGGACGGATTCCAGAACAGAAAAAGGACAACAGGTAAAAAATAAGGCAATAAAAATGAAGTGTAGATGTTAGTTAATCATAACATATCGATATTCATATAGCATTGCATTAATTGTAACAAATATACTAATGTAGGAGGTTAATAATGGGGAACTTGAGTGTGGCATATATGGAAACTCTGTACTGTCTTCCCAATTTTTCTGTAAACCTAAAACTGCAGTAACATATACTGCATATAGTGCTTTTTTTTTTTTTAGACGAAGTCTTGCTCTGTTGCCCAGGCTGGAGTGCAGTGGCATGATCTCAGCTCACTGCAGCCTCCACCTCCCGGGTTCAAGCGATTCTCCTGCCTCAGCCTCCTGAGTAGCTGGAACTACAGGTGCCTGCCATCACGCCCAGTCAATTTTTGTATTTTTAGTAGAGATGGGGTTTCGCCATGTTGGCCAGGCTGGTCTCGAACTCCAGATCTCCTGTGATTCGCCCGCCTCGGCCTCCCAAAGTGCTGGGATTACAGGTGTGAGCCACTGCACCTGGCCATATACTGCTTATTTTTAATAGAATAATATATGAAAGTACCTGGCACATTGTAAACTTTCAACACGTGCATGCGGACTTAAACAACTTGTGTTCTTGATACAATTCCTCAGAGAACAGCGTCTTTCTTGTCCTGGCCATTCTGTGTATGGGCTGGAATTATCAGAATTTTCCCAAATTCCTGTGAAGTTAGCTCCATGCTTGGAAGGGAATACAGAATATGTTTTTAGAAAGAAAACAAACAGGTTAAATAAAACAGAGTCTGGAACCAACATAGACTTGAACATCAGAGAGCAGGGAGTGACACATGAGCACAAAGCCGAAGTTGAAACTGACTCACTTCACAGGAGATAACAAGAGATGCAGTGAACTGACTGATTAGTCATGCTGCCTGCTCTAATTGTGATTACAGAAGCCAAACTGTTTTTATGGGCAACACCCAATGAGCCAGACGAAACAGGAGGAATTATTAAGGGAGTGTTTGAATAGGGGTGCTGAATGATGACACCAGCCTCCTTGCTTCTGAGAACTTATACCGAATGTAAGCCCAACAGCCTGGAGCAAGGATGGGGAAAGCAACACTTTAAAGGAGCTTAAGTAATCAAGTGACAAGGACCCAACACCCACTGCCAGTCAAGGAAGGGATTCAGGCGATCAGGGTTCTGGAAGCACCCAGCAAGATGCAAAGGTTGAACTACGGCATCTTGCTATGTTGTCCAGGCTGGCCTCAAACTCCTGGGCTCAAGTGATCCTCATGTCTCAGCCTCCCAAACTGCTGGGATCATAGGCATGAGCCACTGTGCCCGGCCTAATATAAAAGTTTTCCTTATTTTGACATCCTTTTCATCTTAGCCCAATTTAACTTAAATCCTAGATTCTGAAAACTAGATCCTTTTGAGAAATAGCCCCAGCAGTGAAGAATACAGTAAGATATTACTAATGGCGTTCTTGAAAATTGTTTACAACACCTAGAATTAAGAGAAATCTAGAAACCATTATATTCAGGGTTCTCTGGCTTTGGGTCCTTCTTAGATTCCATTCTCAGGTCTTGTGTAGGGATTTCCATGGACTGAGCCTCTTCTTCAAGGGTCTCCATCTTGGTTGCATTTCGGATGCTGCCTTAAAAAATCACAATGCCCAGGCCACTCCTCAGATCAAATAAACTCACATCTTTGCGGGTAGAATCCAGGAATCACTATTTATAAAGTTTCCAGGTGATTCCAAAGTGCAGCCATAGTTGAGAACCACTGTCCTCATATTATGATGATTATTATTATTACTATTACTATTTTTTTATACAGAGTCTCACCCCGTCACCCAGGCTGGAGTGTAGTGGCATGATCTTGGCTCACTGCAGACTCCACCTCCTGGGTTCAAGCTATTCTCCTGCCTCAGCCTCCTGAGTAGCTGGGATTACAGGAAAGCATCACTACACCCAGCTAATTTTTGTGTTTTTAGTACAGACAGGGTTTTGCCAGGTTGACCAGGCTGGCCTCGAACTCCTGACCTCCAGTGATCGGCCCGCCTAGGCCGCCCAGAGTGTTGGGATTACAGGTATCAGCCATGGTGCCCAGCTCCCACGCCCTGCCCTTTTTTTTTTTTTTTTTTTTTGAGATGTCTGCATTTTAAAAGGGAATTCCTAATGAAAAATGAGATTGCATACAGAATTCTGGGGTCATACTTTCTAGTAACATTTGAATAATTAAAAATTAAATTAGACTTTGAGAATCTCTCTTGCAGACACGACACAAAGGGTTTCCCCTACATTTGCAATAGATGCGGGGTGGCACAATCCATTTTAAAACAAAATGAGGAATGAACATTAATGAAACTTAACTGCTAAATTATTTACAGACCGTATATTTCTGCTAAAACAGTAACTTACTTTTTTTTTTTTGAGACAGAGTCTTGCTCTGTCGGCCAGGGTGGAGTGCAGTGGCATGATCTGGGCTCCCTGTAACTTCTCAGGGTCAAGCAATTCTCCTGCCTCATGCAGTGGCATGATCTGGGCTCCCTGTAACTTCTCAGGGTCAAGCAATTCTCCAGCCTCATGCAGTGGCATGATCTGGGCTCCCTGTAATCTCCCAGGCTCAAGCAATTCTCCTGCCTCAATCTCCTGAGTAGCTGGGATTATAGGTGTGTGCCACTACGCGTGGCTAATTTTTGTATTTTCAGTAGAGACAGGGTTTCACCATGTTGGACAGTCTGGTCTCGAACTCCTGACCTCTGGTAATCTCTCTGCCTCGGCCTCCCAAAGTGCTGGGATTACAGGCATGAGCCACCACACCCAGCTGCAATTTACTATTTTTAAAAATTCACATTTTATTCACTTAAGTTTACTTGCTCTTTTATCCTTATATAAATAAGTAACAAGATAATTTAATTCGGCCGGGCGCGGTGGCTCAAGCCTGTAATCCCAGCACTTTGGGAGGCCGAGACGGGCGGAGCACGAGGTCAGGAGATCGAGACCATCCTGGCTAACACGATGAAACCCCGTCTCTACTAAAAAAAGATACAAAAAACTAGCCGGCGTGGGTGGCGGGCGCCTGTAGTCCCAGCTACTCCGGAGGCTGAGGCAGGAAGATGGCGTGAACCCGGGAGGCGGAGCTTGCAGTGAGCCGAGATCCGGCCACTGCACTCCCAGCCTGGGCGACAGAGCCAGACTCCGTCTCAAAAAAAAAAAAAAAACAAAATAAACTTTAATTCAGTGAGATTAGTGAGGTGACTATAGCTCTTTCAAATGAATTCAATAAAATGTTAATTTTGTGATGCTATTTATTTTGCTAAAGTTTCTACATGATAGGAAGCAAATGCAAATTTTGACCTATTATCATTCCTTAGTATTTCCAGTAGCAGAAAAACGAATCTATTAGAGTACCTGAATTTTACAAGCAAATTCAACATATTTTGTACAGACAAACATAATAATGCCTTGGATGTAGTTATTCATAGTCCTAGATATTTACTGAGCTCTCACTCAGCATTTATTCATTTCATTTCTACGGAGTCAATTTTCTTGACACATTTTACCTTCTAAAGGAAGAACTCTGCTTCTGTTAACCCTTTATGCAACTTTTACACACATGTGTTTAGAGTGTGGCACAGTCAGATTGGGATTTTTTAATTTTAATTTTAATTTTTTTTGAGACAGGGTCTTGCTCTGTCACCCAACCTGAAGTATAGTGGTCCTATCTTGATTCACTACAATTTCTGCCTCCCGGGCCAAACAATCCTCCCGCCTCAGCCTCCCGAGTAGCTGGGATCACAGGTGCATGCCGCCACACCCAGCTGTGGTTTTTTTTTTTGTATTATTAGCAGAGATGAGGTTTCACCATGTTGCCCAGGCTGGTCCCAAACTTCTGGCCTGGATTGACCCACCCACTTTGGCCTCCCAGAGCGCTAGAATTACAGGCATGAGTCACCCTGCCTGGCCTGGAGGCAGAGAGATTAGTAGGAGAGCATTAGCTTGCTTTGTGAATTACTGTATCCAGATTGAGGAATGAGTTCCTGAATGAGCGTTTACAGCAACTGAATCACCTGCTGTCACAACAAACCAATTCCTCACTTGAAAGGCTTTTAAATTGGGGAATCGTAAATGCTTTTAAATGAGTTGTAACAAGCACAAAATATAGCTAAATGACTTTGGGGAATCAGTTGCTCAGAATTAAATATCCCAAATTCTCCTATTCATCTGGCTCTGACATTGACTCACTCATTGATCTTTAGGGATTTAGTTAGTCTATGCTTTAGTTTTCCCAACTATAAAATGCAGCATTAGCGTCTGTGTCATGGAGTAAAATAATTAATCATTTACATGCACTTTGAAGATGAAAAGTACAAGTAATTAAATTCCATGAAAGTTCCCAAGGAGGAGGTTGCTAAAGATATGAGTGAAGTTCATTGTTCTAGCTAGAAGTTAGAATTTCTTTAATGTTAGTGCCTTTTTAACACTTTATTCATTGACGCAACAAATATTCATTTGTGACCTACCATATGCCATGGCCTAGGTTAAAAGTCAGTGGTGAATAAAACAGTCAAATTTCCTTCCTCATGAGGTTATAGTCTTGTAGGGGAAGAAGACAACAAACAAACATACCAGGCAGTGGTAAGTGCATGGAGGGAGGAGATAGGAGATGGGTAAAGAAATAGAGAGGTAGACAAAGTAAGAGTAGGGATCCTATTGATCCCTGGTACCAATTTTCCATATTAGCTGGTTCTCGTATTGCTATAAAGAAATACTTGAGACTGGGGTAATTTACAAAGAAAAGAGGTTTAGTTGACTCATTCCCCAGGTTGTACAGGAAACATGATTCTGGCATCTGCTCAGCTTCTGGGGAGACCTCAGGAAACAATCATGGTGGAAGGGGAAGAGGAAGCAGGCACCTACCTCTTACATGGCCATAGCAGGAGCAAGAGAGCGAGGTGCTATACAATCTTTAAACAGCCAGATCTCACGAGAACTCACTCACTATCACAAGAAGAGCACCAAGGGGGAAATCCACCTCCATGGTCTAATCACCTCCCACCAAGCCCCACCTTGAATGTGGTCAATTACAATTGAACATGAGATTTGGGTGGGGACACAGATGCAATCCATACTGGGGTGGCTAGAGCAGGACTCTAGGGAAGGTTACAAGAAAAAGCAGGGAGAGGAGGTTCTTGCAAACATCTTAAGAGAGCTTTCCAAACAAAGGGGGTCATAAGTAGAATGTGTGGGGCCTATAAGGTACAATACAAAGGCTTGGCAGCTGGGATGGCGTGAGTGGGGGGCTTGCGTTAAGTGAATATCAACCTGTGTGTCCTAAGAGTGAGAGTAATATAGGCAGACTTCTTTTCCAAGTAAACAATGATGGTGTACAGGGCAGCATAGGAATTCCAAAAATAGATAGAGTCCATTGTTTCTTCATCAAATATTTATTAGTGCCCTTTATTTTCTGGACTTTTTTTTTAAGATAAAACAACAAACTTGGTTCTCAAGAAGTATACAGTTTAGAGAATACATACACACATTCACTCTTAGTTTGGGCAAGCAAACTAAAGTTTAGATTCCAATAGGTAACACATTTTGGTTAAAAATCATAGCTTCTGGTTTTATTTATGTAAGGTTAACAGCAATACGTGTTTATAGGCGTGCTTTTTTTCCCCTCTCTTTTTAAATTTAACTGACTCATGGTCGACACTGTTTCATCTCTACTCTCTTTGTTAGCCCTCACCAGATTTTTCTCAAGCAAATGACGGCATTATTTCATCCGTAAAGATTTCACTAAGTAGCTCTAAAAGAGAGTCTTTAAA